CCCACCGTCTTAAAAAATTGGCAAAACCATAAGTTAAGCCCCTGAACTAATCCCAGAATCGCTATTAAGCCCCTAGACTTTAATTGATGCAGTTAAGCCCTTGAACTCTGGGATCAAAGCAATTAAGCCCTTCTTCTTAGGCTATTAAGCCCCTAGACTTTAATTTTTAAAATAAATTGCTTAAGGAGAGGGGCTTAATTGCTTTGATCCCAGAGTTCAAGGGCTTAACTGCATCAATTAAAGTCTAGGGGCTTAATAGCGATTGTGGGGGTTAGTTCAGGGGCTTAACTTATGGTTTTGCCTAAAAAATTTAATAAAAAAACGAGGGTTCTTTTGTTTTGGTGATTGGGTCCCACTTGCGGTTGGTAAGAATTAAGACAGAGTTCCACCTCTACTGCTCTATCCATATTTAAGCCAACTGTCGCCGGCAGCCATGTTACGGCGTGAGAGATATATAATTATTATTGATTCATTGTTAAAGTCGGTCGTTGGGGAAGAAATTAGTAATTGGTGTGGGCCGGCCCAAGTTAAAGCTCTGGAATCGTTCTATTCCAATGTGGTGGACGCCTGAAGGGTCCCAATTTCCAAACAGGAGACCTGGACCGCGCCCAGATCGAGAATGATCCAGGCTGGGAAAGACGAAATAAATAAATAAAATTTAAATAATTTTTTTTATAAATTTTTTGTTTTACAATTTATACTATATTAGATTGTAAAATAAAAATTATTTAATAAGAATGGCCCTTAATATTAAGGGTATATTTTTCATTTAATAATTTATATTATATAATTTTATATAGTTTAGACTGCATAATATTTTTTTAATTTTTTATCAAAAAAAATTTTTAGCCATATTTTTATCATCAAATTAAAAATTAAATTTATTTTTCTGACATTGCATTATATAATGGGAAGCAATTCTGTTTTATCTCTTAATCCAACCCATTTATGTCATTCAAACTCAAAATCTCTTCTACTAAAACAAGATTATTACTAAATTAATTACACCATTAGCTTGTACACATTAATCTAAAATATTTTGAGAAAGAGAAATTAGTCTTCCTTTAATTGAATGACTATATTGGGAAGTTATTTTAGTTTTATTTTTTCCTTTTATTATTGTATT